ACTTCAAATCTGGGAATGTGGCAGCTAGTCACACCGTCTGGGGGGCAGTGGACAAGAGTCGTTACACCATATATCTCTCTCTCCACACCACAATTCAAAACACTCTAACAGGTACTTGAGCACGATGTGCTGCTACCAAGCCCTATAGCTTCTGCGTTTTTTAATTAAAAGTCCCACTTCTGAGTAGTATATTGAGGGGTGTACCGCTCGAAGTCTCTTTGAAATATGACCATCATCGCTGAGTGAGGTATTATCTTGTAGGAGGAAGGCAGTATACTGTCAGAAGTTTTTTGGTACGACTGTAGGATGGCGTTTCGTATGATGTTTTCGCTTGGTGTTGTGTTCTTGTTGCTTTCCGTGCACGTGGTGAAGGGGACTAAAAGGAAGGATGTTGTACTCGGTGTACTGTTGGAGGACGACCCAAGGTTGATGTACTCTCTCTCGCGGGTGGCTCCTGCGATCCAGTTGGCGGTTAAAGTAGTGAACTCCCGCGGGTCTCTTGGCTCCCTGACGCTCGTCCCTCGCTTCGTGCGACATCTGCGTTGTGAGACGTTCTCCATGCAGGTCGGAGCCATGGCGATGTACTACGATCACAAGACGGGCCATGACACACAACACCACTGCAGCAAAGACAGGAAAAGACCGTCCATTCTCCTGGGCCCTAGCTGCGACTTCCCTGCCGCCTCTATCGTACGGTTAGCATCCTACTGGAATATTCCTTTCATGACGGTCGCTGTCCCCATGGCTCTGCAGAACAGGCGGGAAGACGCTTATAAGACTGGTATAAGAACGTCTGTGTCGTCCGGAGAGGTTGGGAGGTTTGCCCTACGAGTTTTGGCCAAGTTTAAGTGGACTAGAACATTTTCTGTGGTGAGCCACGGCGGCGGGCCTGGTAATCACACCTGTTACTTCCTTGTCAGAGGAATCTATGACGAATGGAGAGTGAGGGAAGGTGTTCACGTCCAAGCGAATGTCTTTGAGTTCGAGGAGGACAATTTTGACTTGGAAAGTAAGGAAGGTTTGAGTCGCCTTGACGAAAAACTTCGGAGCATGATGACCGAGGCTAAGACAAAAGCTAGAGGTAAGAAAACTTCAAGTCTTAAATATTACTGGAGACTCGATCTGCCATTGTCCCAACCGTGCTAGTTCTGTTGCAGAGATATTTCGTCCTTGGCTTTCTACCGTCCTGGCATAATCTTTTTAGGAAATGGTTAATGATTGAGCATCAGATACAATGATGGATTGGGTAGGGAAGAGGTTATGGTCTTTTCACAAAGATACTTCCTTTCTCACTAGGGCATATACTGTTCTTTCAGTGAACACACACACACACACACACACACACACACACACACACACACACACACACACACACACACACAAAGTTTGACAATGGTGGAACTTGTATATCCTCACTTGTGCTCGAAACTCTTGCACATTTAGGATTCGTAAAAGTTTACACCTAGTCTAATGTTGAGTCGTAAGGATCAGTTTCGTGAGTAAAATGAACTTCTTTGCTTTCATCAAAATTGTTAAAGTGAACGTTAAAAGGTTTGTTTACGCCAGAAAGTGACATTCCGGAAAACATCGTACAAAAATGTGTACAATATTGCTTCAAGAGTCTGGACACATTCCATGTTGCCCTGGACAACAACTTCTACGTAGTTCAGATCTCAAAGTCCTCCTAATGTCCCAAAATAGACCCAAAGGCCAAAGTTCTGCCAAAGGTAGAGACTGAAATTTTCCAGAAAGTTCTCGTCGCTGTGTTGTGATAATATGAACCTTTAAGACCAGAAAAATACCTTTTTTTTTGGAAAAAAAAATGGAATGGTGATGAAATAGAAGTACACACACACAAGGAGAAGCAATTCTAATTTAATTTTGGCACACACCAAACAATATATCACGATGACAGTAAGCAAACTTTGTGAGGTACTTCAGGTAGGTAATATTTGTCAGGTCCCTGTGTACGTGTGCGACTCAAGTGTTTCCATGGACCAGTGTGTTTTACGGGCACTTTTGTCCCGATTCAGTCGCTGCTACTTAACGTCTCCTTGATTTATAACAAAAGACATGTCCGAGGAATATTGATAGTTTCCGTGTTTACTGTGACCCCTGCCTTTATAGCATGTTTGTAACAGGTGGCCTCGATAACAGCCTTCAGAGAATGTTTTCCTCGCTTGTACCATGCCCGTAGCCAGGATTTTGAATGGGGGGTTCTTCCCACTGCTTGAGGGGACCTCGAGCGCCGAAGGCGCAAGGTTCCTAGGGGGGTCCGGGGGCATGCTCCCCCGGAAAATTTTGAAAAATGAACCTTCTAAAATGGCATTTCGTGCATTTTTGAGAGGATTTCCAAGAAAAAATCAGAGATAAATTTTGATTCAATGAGAAAAGGAGCAGTTTTTCTACGATTCCAGTCCATCTTTTAAAGAAAAATCTTGGACCTTTACATAAAATGTGGACCAAAAAGTGGACCTTTACATAAAATGTAGACCTTTACATAAAAAGTGGACCAAAAAGTGGACCTTTGAGCCTTCTTCCGAACCCCCCCCCCTGGCTACGGGCATGTGTACATAACTACGATACAGACGTCTTTGGTGTTTTAACGTCATTCAATTTGATTTATGATAGTCTTAGAGACAGTTTCCTTGTTTAGTGACCCCTGCCCAATGCCACAGTTGATAGATTAACAGGTGGTCTGGATAACAGCCTTCTGAGAATGTTTTACTCGCTTCTTGTTAAGTACAGACGTCTTTGCTGTGTTTTAACGTCACTCAATACGATTTATAGAAGTCTTAGTGGCCTGTCCTAGGAATATGGATAGTTTCCGTGTTTAGTGGCCTCTGCCCAATGGCACATTTGATATAGAGTAACAGGTGGTCTACTTAAAAGATCTGACATATGTTTTACTCGCTTCTACCTAACTATGGACGTCCTTCGTGTTTTAACGTCGATTTATAACTGTCTTAGTGACTTGTCCGAGGAATATGGATAGTTTCCGTGTTTAGTAATCTCTGCCCTGACGACATATTTTACAACAGGTGGCCTGTTTAACACTTCTAAAATATGTTTTTCTCGCCTCTTCCGTGCTCCAGTCGTCTTTGGTGTTTTAACGTCACTCAATTCAATTCATAACAGTCTTAGAGACCTGTCCCAGGAATATGGCTAGTTTCCGTGTTTAGTAATCTCTACTCTGACAACATATTTTACAACAGGTGGCCTGTTAAACAGTTCTGAAATGTGTTTTTCTCGCTTCTTCCTAACTCAAGACATCGTAAACATCTAACCTCACTCACTTTGATTTAGAACAATCTTAAAGACATGTCCAAGGAATATGGATAGTTTCCGTGTTTAGTGACCTCTGCCCAATGGCACATTTGATATAGAGTAACAGGTGGTCTATTTAACAGCCAGCAAAATGTTTTAGTCGCTTCTAGTTAAGTATTGACGTCTTTCGTGTTTTAACGTCGATTTATAACTGTCTTAGGAACCTGTCCCAGGAATATGGATAGTTTCCGTGTTTAGTAATCTCTGCCCTGACGACATATTTGATAACAGGTGGCCTGTTTAACAGTTCTAAAATATGTTTTTCTCGCTTCTTCCGTGCTCCAGTCGTCTTTGGTGTTTTAACGTCACTCAAGTCGATTTATGACCTGTCTGGGGAATATTTCCCTCTACTATAGGGAATATAACTCTAATAGTTTCCGTGTTTATTGTTCTTTGCCCGGATTGAACATTTGATATCCATATCAAATGTTCCAGGTGGCCTATTAAACCTCTATGAACATGTTTTACTCGCTTCTACCAAACTATGGACGTTCTTAAGTGTTTTAACGTCGATGTATAGCAGTCTTAGGTACCTGTCCGAGGAAAATGGATAGTTTCCGTGTTTAGTAATCTCTAACCTGACGACATATTTGACAACAGGTGACCTGTTTTACAGTTCTGAAATGTGTTTTTCTCGCTTCTTCCGTGCTCCAGTCGTCTTTAGTGTTTTAACGTCACTCAATTCGATTTATAACAGTCTTAGAGACCTGTCCCAGGAATATGGATAGTTTCCGTATTTAGTAATCTCTGCCCTGACGACATATTTTACAACAGGTGGCCTGTTTAACAGTTCTAAAATATGTTTTTCTCGCTTCTTCCGTGCTCCAGTCGCCTTAGATGTTTTAACGTCACTCTATTCGATTTATAGCAGTCTTAGAGACCTGTCTGGGGAATATTTCCCTCTAATATAGGGAATATAACTCTAATAGTTTCCGTGTTTAGTTCCTTTGCCCGGATTGAACATTTGATATCCATATCAAATGTTCCAGGTGGCCTATTAAACCTCTATGAACATGTTTTACTCGCTTCTTCCGTACTCCATGCGTCTTTAGTGTTTTAATGTCACTCACTTCGATTTAAGGCAGTCTTAGAGACCTGTCCGAGGATTGATAGTTTCCTTGTTTAGTGACCCCTGCTCTGATAAGACATGTGGTCCGTATAACAGCTCTTAAGTGCTGACAGATAGATCTTAGGCCACACCAAGTAAATTTTATGGATGACGTCCTTTGGAGACCCTAAATCTAATGCGAGAGGGCGAAAAAAAAACAAGAAGGGCCCTAAAAACAAGATGCCTAGATTAGAAATAAACTAAGAGACGTCAAATTTTAGGACACAAATTGAATGAGGTGACACAGTGTAACAAGCACGAAGCGTTTTATTCATCATCAAAACAGCAATAAATCAGGTGGAACAGTGGACAGTGAAAAATATTCTGTTATTGACAGGATGGTCCTGTCAAGACACTTTCTTCGCGTTACGGTTTCACGTCAATCTGACGATTTGCGACACTGTCGTGACTCTTTGGTCATAGTTACAGGAAGCGAAATTTCTTGTTTTTTTCTAGGAAGAGGCCAAAATCAATGCGCGCGCGGACGTCATCCATAAAATTTACTTGGTGTGGCCTTAAGTATTATTCTGTGTGGACCGAAACATGCAATATCAACACACTTTCGATTGTCTACTTAGTCATTTGTTTATTTTCCTTGTTTATCATAGGCTAACCCTTATCTAGGATATGGTAATGTTTAACGTCAACAACACTTGAGATAATGTTCGTACACTCGGTCTTTTCATCTATATGTTTATACTTAGTTTGTAGTTAGTTTTTTTGTGCTTGCGACATGTGCAATCAATTAAGAGAACTTTTTTTAGTGGAGAAAGAGAAATATAGCCCACAGAAGGACAGCCTATGAGAGTTATATGATCCCTTCTGGCATGTTTGTATTTTCAGTAATCCTGCACTAATCCCACACCGTGTTTCAAGAATGTCTGTCATGACATGACCAAGTGTGAAGGCAAACTTCTGGCCCTGAAAAATAAATGCCCCCGACACTACTTAGAGGTTTCCAATGTATGTGAGGCGAGGAATGGGAGGGGGTTAGTTGTGATGTGAGGACTAAATCTAACCCTAGCCCCAGTCCTAAGTGTGACCCTAGCCTAAACAAGACTGTATCCATTTGCCACCCAACGTAAATGGATACAGTCTGGCTTATTCGACAATGTCTTTTGCTACCACCGAAACACCTGCTTGGAGATTAGAAAGTTTGCCTCAAACCGGTTCTAGTACGTGTTGTGGCCCTCTGGCAACAGTTTCTTCTTTTCACCGTAAAATCATCTAAAATTGTGGAACCCTTTCGAATTCCATGACTGCTATTTCCCTTATATTTCCAAATACAACCCACATAGGCTAAGTTCTATTTGCTAGCATACATGTAGTAATAGTAACCTATGGCGCCCACCAACATAGTCCAGTACCCAGAAGTGTGTTAATGCAGCCTTGCATTGAGTAAACTCGTTAAGAAAAAGCAAATAGTACAGTTTTTTATCTCTATGATTGATGAACACTCTCCGTGACACACTCACACAGACACCAACTTTTACCAGAGTAAAAATTTAACGTTATAAAGATAAGAGTCGACCTTTGACTAGTTTGTGCACAAAGATGTTATCTGTAACTGTTAAGGGTTAAGGTTCGAGGTAGGGATTTTTTGCATCACTCAATAGTTGCTACGTACTATGTTAATAAGTTTCTAAAAGTTGGTATGGTATATTCAACACAATATAGTAATATACTGTAAATCGTACAAAGCAGCTGCAAAATGATAAAATATATGACGTAAATTGCAAAAAAAAATATTGGAATACGACACTAATGTTGTCGAATGCCAAACTCAATTACAAAGGAAAAGAAGGACATGTGAAGAAATAAAAATGAAGAGTCTATTATTCGTCATACTATACTTTCTGTGCTTAGTTATTTGTTCAACCTTCATGACCACGTCATGCTGTCATGAAGTCAACTTTTTTTGCCAATTTTTTTATTGGCAAGCTCGCATCCGTTTTGAGGGTCCCAGAGGAATTGAGGTATTCAAGAACTCGTATTTCCCCAGAACTATCGTAGACTGGAACTCGTTGCCACCAAGCACAGTTGGGGCATCATCACTAGAAAGCTTTAAACAACTCCTGTAATTAAATGTGCAAAGATTAAGTGTAACAAGTCGTCCGGTGTGATATAGCTAGCTGCCACCGCGCCGCGTGCCTGCGAAGCTGGTGTGTTTCGCCGAAGGGCGGTTATACCGGCTATACCGATACAGATACAGGATATCATCCATATTATCAAATCAGCATGGCCTAACGTTTTACACACGTTCTGTGCCCTCCCAGTGATTATAACGTGCGCCAGCGCCCCCTATGTGTGGCGGCTGATGAAGGTAGCCAGGGAGATGGGGATGACCAATGGGGACTACGTATTCCTTATCGTGGACGTCTTTGACCACGCCTACCTCCAGCCGGACACGTGGATTGGTTCAGAAGACAACCAACAGGAACGGCGGGATATCCTAGACGCCTTCCGAGCTGCTTTCGTCATCACCGTCCCTCGGCCTGATACCCCTGCGTTCCGAGAATTCTCCGAGCAAGTGCGAGAAATAGGGAAACAGAACTTCGGTTTCGATTCCGGGGAAACATTGGTAAGTCATGTTTAAAGTTAAAATTTTTGATCCAACACAAAAATTCTCTCACCTAGAGCTTTCGACCAGTCACTCTGGTCTTCCTCAGTAGACTGACCCAGTGAGGCAAGGCAAGGTAAACGATGTCGGCCCCCGTCGCGGTTAAGTGAAGGGTGGTGGGCCCTGATTGGACCAAAATTTTTAACTTTAAACATGTAACTACCAACACAGATGAACTTTCATGATCGTGGTAAGTCTTATCGTCGTTAGAATCTCACAAATAAAATCACGAACAAAGACTTTTAAATAGCTAACGTATCGGCAAGATACCTTAAGTGCGCATACAAAAAAGTAACGTTGCGTGAATGTTTTTTGTAGGTCTTTTAGGTTGTGTAAAGATGACTTTTTCCCAGCAACTTTCCAACATAGCTACATGGTTCTTTGTGGCAAAGTGATGACTAAACGTTCGTTGTAAACTTGTGTTAGTATTTTTTTAGTAACTTTCCAACATAGCTCAATTGAGTCTTTCTGGTCAATTTTTGTGGTAAAGTAATGACTAAACGTTAATAAAACTGTGTTAGTGACTGCTGCTTATGTCTTGTTTTTTTCCTTAGGCTAACCCGTTTGTGGAGTCCTACTTTAATGACGTCTTGCTGTACGCCACTGCCTTGAACGGGACTCCTGGCTATAACTACACTAACGGCACTGAAATGGCGCTGAAAATGCGCAACGTTTCTTTCATCGGTAAGGAATATGGCATATCTTGATTAAGTTCTGTTAATACTGCCAATTTTTTTTATTCCTTTCACCTCCAGAGTTTTGTGACTAATCAGCTTCATAATGAACTTGTGTAGTATAATGAACTCTGATATTTTCTCTCACTGGGCTGGGCTGAATGTGGTATCAAATGTGACATTGTGGGGCATAACAACAGAGTGTTCGGCTCGGAACCAAAAGGTCATGAGTTCGAATCCAGCCATGCCACCGATCTTGTGCCCTTGGGAAAGGCACTTTACACGACTTTCCTCACTTCACTCAGGTGAAAATGAGTATGTCTATTGAGCGTTCATGCGTTTGTCCTCTACGTTGGTGGCAGCATGAATATAAGTTGGAAAAAAACTTGAGTGTGCTGCCACCATGTCTTTTGTTAATGATAAATGTTGGAATAGAAAAAAATGTGACATAGTATACAAACCTGGCATTAGAATGAACGTAAAAATCGTTGTTAACCATTGCATGTGATTGTACTTTTTGTATATCGTCACAGGTGCAGACGGGGAGGAAGTCGTGGTCAAGAATGGAGACCGAGTCTTCAACTTCTTAGTCTTAGACCTGAACCGAAGCAGTGAAAGATTCGTGGTAGGTTTCTGCTTTATATTCGCAATGGATCAGTAAATAAAGTTGGGCTTATGCTTAATATCTACATCGTGTGAGCTTACAAAGGGATTGTACAAATTAAAGAACTTGTCTTTAACAAAATCATGACAAAGAAAGAAAAGGAAAGCATATCACGGTGAATTATGTCCAATTTCACAGAAGTAATATGAAACACTGCATGAAAACCTGTACCATGAACTGACCATTTGTCTATTTCTAGCCGGCTCTGTTCTACAATGGAAGCTCACAGAATTTTACCAACATGACCAAGATTGACTGGATCATTGACAGACCCATGGTGGAACCACCGGCATGTGTGTGGAACAACACGTGTCCAGGTGGGTAGGAATGGTCTTTTTATTTTACTAAAAAAAATGATATATTTCTCTCTCTATATTAAGATGTATCCGTGTGGATGTGAATTCAGAACCAAGGACAGCAGTGTCAGTGTTAAAGTTATTCAGCACCAAGGACAGCAGTGTCAGTGTTAAAGTTATTCAGCACCAAGGACAGCAGTGTTAGTGTGAAGGTTATTCAGTACCAGGGACAGCAGTGTCAGTGTGAAGGTTTTTCAGTACCAGGGACAGCATTGTTAGTGTAAAGGTTATTCAGCACCAAGGACAGCAGTGCCAGTATAAAGGTTATTCAGTACCAGGGACAGCAGTGTCAGTATAAAGGTTATTCAGTACCAGGGACAGCAGTGTCAGTGTGAAAGTTATTCAGCACCAGGGACAGCAGTGCCAGTGTGAAAGTTATTCAGCACCAGAGATAGCAGTGTCAGTGTGAATGTTATTCAACACCAGGGACAGGAGTGTCTGTGTGAACATCTTTCAATACCAGCGACTATCTAGTTAATCAGCCTTTATTGTAAATTGCCACCAAATAATGCATTTGACATGATTTTTGTTGAGCAGAACCAGAAGCCACCAATACAACAGTTATTGTCCTGTCTGTGGTCATCGGAGTTATTGTCATCACATCCTCTGCCATCATCTACTTCTTCAAAAGGTATCCAGCCTGTAGTATCATCATTGATGAAGAAACGAATGTATTTTTTTTTACTTCTCCTTAAGTTAGTGGATACAAGCTGAAACGTCTGACCGTTTCCAAAATCATATCCAGTTGCTTGAGTAACCCCTTTTTGGCGTATCATATTACCTGGATGTCTAACCTTCACCGACGAATCAAGATCATTCTTTGCGAGTCTAACCTAATTAATGATGAACCTAATAATGTAATCTGCTTTTATATTCTGTATGTTGTGTTTGGGAGGACAACTTGTAAAGGTGTCAATGCACCTGTTTTGTCCTCCCTTCCACTTGTATATCTTGTGGTAAATTCAAATAAACAAATAAACAAACAAATGATTAACTTTGCTCCAATCAGGAAGAACGATCTTGCGATAGCGCTGAGGTCTGAGCAGGAGAAGTTGGTTCAGTGGGAGGATATACAGATGGACGAGGGCAGGGCTGGGGAGGGCAGCGTGTACCGCATGCAGGTCGCACCTGCTGACCCTGGAGACATGGTGGGTTCATTTGCATCAAGGACATTCTATTCCTGTTTGCATATAGCATTTAAGTAAGAAGGACCCACCCCTAGGGTGTTGCCAAAAACCAAGGAACCAATGCATTGGTTACCTTATGCTTGGGACACACTTTCAACCGGGCTGTCTGTATGAAAAAAAACAACTTTTTTATATTCATGATTAGTTCAGTTCCTGGAAACTGCAACAGAGGGCTTGGCATTGTGCTCTAAGTATTGTAATGGGGATATCACTAAGGCAAGGCCGTTGAGTGTCAAAAATCAACAAATCTTTGAACTGTTACAGTTTTTAGTGAGTGCTCAAGGCCTTTCGAAGTTTAGTCTCAATGATTCTTAAATTTTTTTAAAGTGTTTTTGTCAAATAATCTGATGACAAGCATGTTTTTCATTGATATTTTGATGAAAATTGTACAATTTTAAGTAACTTATGTCTTTCTCAACAGCAAAAGTGGCATTCAAGGCTTACCTTAGGTGGCGTGCAAGTGTTTGCCACAACTGGCATCTACAAGGTCAGTAAACATCAAGTACTCTCTATTTCAACCATCAAGTTTGAGCTATATTGATTACTCAAAAGTAATAGTGGCCTTAGTGTTGTAGGAGTTAAACAAAAATATTTATTTTCATGCATTATTTGAGGAAATTATGATGCTTGTACTAGAATCCAAAGAGCTTATGGCATGCAAAATCTTGTGAAATATTAAATCCTTTTTCTTCCCAGGGCAAAAGAGTGGTAATCAAGGATGCTGACTGTGACAAGTCAGCCATCAATCTGACAGATGACATCCTACTGGAGCTAAAGAGGGTGAGTTTTTCTAGCCTGGATGCCAGCCTTTTTCACTTAAGTACAGTCCCTTGCATTGGTTACTTTCAAATTAGGCAGGGAAACGACCAGCAAAGCATACTAAAGCTGAAAAGCCTGGCATCCGGGCTAGAGTTTTCAGCTACATTTGGGGAATGCTTTAGCAAGGAGATCGTGACAGCATTCATTGGATAGCAAGTCTCAGTTACTGTAGCAGTCTTTGGTGAAATAACCTCCTTTATATATATAAGAACATGACATTTCTATAGAAAGTTACTGTTGTCTATAGTTACTATGCGTTTTGTACCAGTCACTCCACATACAAATATTATGAACAAAAAGATGTGCGCCTCCAAAATATTGTGAAGGATACAGTCATGTTTTCTACTGTAACCCCTGGAGCCATTGCATTTTGTGCAGCACATCTACATTTGTGAGCAACTATTATATTTTTTTACTTCACTACAATTCAAAAGGTATGTGTTTCCCCCTAGATGCGTGACCTAGCCCATGACCATGTGGTCAGGTTTGTCGGAGTGTGCTTCAAGTCTCCTCGTGTCTTCATCCTGACAGAGTACTGTCTCAGAGGCAGTCTTCAGGTCAGTACATCTCAAACCTACAGGAGTACAGTCTAATACCAGATGACAATCTAGGAAATAAAGCTAGAAAGTCTGTAATTTCAGGTCACTTTGATCATGGACTATCTTTATCAATACTTGAATCTGTGACACTTATGTTAAGTCCTGGACCTGCTGAGAAATGGAACAGATTTCTCAAGTCTTTTTGGATGGTCATACTCTTTTTACATAATTTGATTGCATATAAATGTTATAAGTTGCTAATTAATTATTTCTCTTTATTCAGCCTGGTGACCTGATATGTTTTAATTGTATCCATCTTATAGGACACATTGGAGAATGAGGAGATCCACTTGGACATAGAGTTCCAATGTTCCCTCATGCACGACATTGTCAAGGTGAGAATTACCCTCAACATGCGGCTTAGCAACTCAGTTGTTTAAAAGCTGCTACGCCTTAATTGTAACACAGTGGTGTTGCTGAAATAATGACACATTTTTGATCTGTTTCTTCTTCTTCCTCCATTACAAACAAAATCAATATGATCAATGACCAGACGTCTGTCACCATGGTAACGGGTGCTGTAGCAGACACCCTGTAGTGTTGGATTACAGTATGCAGCAAGTGGAAAGACAGGGAGGGGCTGGTCACCATACAATTATATCCAATATGTTTCAGTAAAAATAAACATGACAGTAGTTTATTAAGCTAGACCATGTGAAGATAAATATGACGTATTTGCTTTGCAAATGTTACCTTTCTAGTTAAAAGTGTAACCCTCTTCCTCTGACCAATAGGGTATGGGGTATCTGCAGTCCAGTGAGGTTCATTACCATGGAAACCTCAAGTCATCAAACTGTGTTGTTGACAGCCGCTTCGTGGTGAAGCTGACAGACTTCGGACTTCCCACTTTCCGAGCACCACTCAATAAACCTCCACAGGGAGAGAGCTGCTACAGAAGTTAGTCTTTCCGTCATATACAACTTGATATTGAATTCATAACTACCAATGCTCATCTTCACACATGTACCTCTGTGTATGGAGGTATAATTGTTTTGTGTGTGTTTGTGAATGCTTGTAAATGTGATAGGACATTTGTGGGGGAATTCTGTAACCACAAACCAAAAAGGTCAGACACAGGAACTTAGGTCCCAGAAGCTGGCCGTAATCCAAAAGAAGTCTGTTGGCCAAGGGAAATGCATGGAACATGTAAACAGAGAAATTTACTGTATAAGAAGTAAAGTACCGGTAAGAAAATGAAAAAAATTCACACTCAGACACTTACATGTAGGTACTGCTTGTTGTGATTGCTGACTGTACAAATTTTAGAATTACTGGTAATTCCAAAGTTACTTTTCTGGAAGAAATGGTGCCTGGAAATTGATACCCTCTAAGAACTTGGATAGCAAGCCATATTGAATTCTACATGTCAGTATATACATAACGTTACTTAGGCCACGCCAATTTAATTTCTTGGTTAACGGATTTGCCCGCTTCATTTTTTTCTGATTTGCAAATAAAAATAAAAATTCAGAATCAATTGCAAAATGCTCATATTTTGCCCTGAACAGTTGAAAACAGTCCTTTTCATCCTAGTTGTTACAGTTATTCCATCTTTCAATGCTATGGTATCATTAAAAGTTCAAAATTCATTGTTTACATTTTGAACCAGCCTGGTGTGTTGACTTCATGGCTCCTATCATACCATATTGGGCCTTAATAGGATGCCTAGGCCTGTTTTTACTTTTATTTCTTTTCACCCGCCCGCTCCATTATTTTTCTAGAAAAATCCGTTAACCAACAAATTAAATTGGTGTGGCCTTAGGTACTGTTTGTTGAGATTGCTGACTATACAAATTTTAGAATTACTGGTACTATGTATTATTTTCCATAGTTACTTTTCTGGAAGAAATGGTGCCTGGAAATTGATACACTCTATAAAGTTGGATAGCAAGCCATATTGAATTCTACATGTCAGTATATACATAACGTTACTTATACAAAATATCACATTTACCGACAGAGAAACTGTGGACAGCACCAGAGATGTTACGTGAGCTAAAGTGTGATGAGCTGACCCTCCACGCTATTCACAAAGCCGACGTCTACAGCTTCGGTATCATCATGCAGGAAATCGTGCAGCGTCAGGGGCCTTTCTACATGGCTGATGATCCAAACGCAAGCGCTCAAGGCAAGTGTGAACTGCCTTGACTATAATGCCACTATCATTCTTGGTAAATTCGTGGTACATATTTCTTATTTAGAAATCACAATGGCTTCATTATTAACCATCTTAACCTGAAGAGCCACTATGGTGGCTCAGTTTGAATCTCCAGCTAGGTGCATCACCATAAATGGGGAGAGATCCTCATTAAAATGTAATCTAATTTGCATGTTTGGGACACTTCATAGGTATCCTTACTCTTTTTGATGTGGTTGGCCATTTTTTAGGCAAGATTTTGTGAAAGTTTTTGTCCGAAATGAGGTGCAAAAGCATTTCGAGGAGCAAAAATGCAGAGGATTTGGTGGTTGGGACTAATAAATTATCTTCTTTCCCTTAAACACCCAATAATGTTCTTCCTCTTTCCTTTGTTTTTCCATAGACATTGTTGAGAAAGTCAAGTTGGGATCTCAAACCAATGGCAGGTACTATCGGCCGGACGTTCCTGTCATAGATGACAGCCGGTACGGTAAGGCCCTGCAGACTCTCATGCAGCAGTGCTGGGAGGAGGACCCAAACCTCAGGCCTGAGTTTGGGTCAATACGCACACAGATGAGACAAATTGACAGGTGAAGCTTGTTACCATTTCACTGCAATATTAGTATTCTTACTTTAGGCTAGTTGTGGATGTACATTGTGAACATAACAAACTACGAATGCATGAAAAATGGAAGGAAAACATCTTGTTCTTGCTCTGTTTCTTCTTCCTCTTCTTCTCCAAACAAATAAGGTCAATGACCTGAACCAGATGTCTGTCACCATGGTAACTAGTGTTGGGTTACATCATGTTGCAATTTTATAGCAGGAGGGATTTAAACTCCTGTCACCATATATATGAATGTGAATTTGAGTAAGAATTAACAGAGCAGACCATATGCAAAGGTAAACATTATCATAATGCTTTTGCTTTGCAAATGTTACCTTTCTAGTTTTGTTTTGTTTTGTTCCTAGGGGTCGTAACCTTATGGACACCCTGCTGTCGCGGTTGGAACAGTACGCCAGTAACCTGGAGGAGATGGTTCAGGAGCGGACGGAGGAGCTGGCTGTGGAGAAGAAGAAATCGGACGAGCTTCTCTACCAGATGCTGCCTGAGTTGGTTTTCCTCACATTTCATACATAAGTTGTTTCTTTTTATACCAAAATGAGCCCTTTGGTCAAATTGAAGACATGGATGTCAAAACGTGACTTAAGTCAATGTTTGTACCTTAGAACTCCTAATTTTGAAAATGTAAAGGAATTGGAACAGAGGAATTGCTGAGGACTGCTTAGATAATATATGGTTGCTACTTATTGTCTAAATCATGAGAAGATAAATCTCTAGCTGGCTTACAACCAGCTCTCAACCATGCTAACTACTGCATGTATGGAAGAACCCTCTTTCAGTCTTTGTGTTGGTTCAAGTTATTCTTCTAAGGTATCTAGAAATAGAAAATACTATGCTACTTGTACTTATGGTAAGGATAGACCTGTCCTTGGTGCTGAAATCATTGTGCAAAGCATACATGTAAATAATATACATACAGTATTACTAAGTTAAACAACAGTTTTAGACATCTCATTGTTTTCCTACCACTTCAATGAGGCATGCACTTTTAAGTCTACAATCTTGACCATTGTTTATCAGGGCAGTGGCTGAGGATCTGAGACAGGGCCGATCTATTGAGGCAGAGACATACGACAGGGTCACCATATACTTCAGTGACATTGTGGGGTTTACTGGCCTGGTGGAGTCCATGAAACCTGTTGAGGTAAGAGGAACTGTTCCTAACATTGGATGGTTATATAATGTCTATAAGCTAACATTTAACATATGATTATCATATTGTATAAGGTTATACTATTACCAATACCTGTGTAATCCTTAAAAGTATTGTGTATTCTCTGAATGTTTTCTAGGTTGTGGATCTGCTGAATGATCTGTACACACTGTGGGACAAGATCATCAGTAGATATGATGTTTACAAGGTAGGATGGACACATACTATATATAATTAGACATGACAAGATTTCCTTGGATTGCATTATAGCCTGGTCTATAATGACAAAAACTAACAAGTGAAACCGTAAAAGAGACAGCTTTTTGTGACCTAAGGAGCAAACATTAAATTTTGTAAAGAAGTCTGAATTCTTGGAACTGCCCCCTAGCTGTCGAGGTGGTGGGACAGTCTTGTGCAACACCTGGGCCCTGCTTGGCCCAGAAATGCTAGACTTAGACAAGAGTGGAGCGAGTCAAGGGAGGGGTTCCTCTGCAGGAGTGACAATGCCAGCACGTCGGCAGAACGTACTGCACCTGCGCGAAACCCGTAATGTATTGTACATAGCATTTCGGCAGAATGTCTCATATAAGGTTGTATTCGCTCATATAAGGTTAGCATTTCGACAGTAGTTTCCAAATGTCATGTCAAAAAGAATATCCTCAGCAACAGGCAAAATTCTGATGCAACGTTGACCAAAAACCCAACAAATACGGGGTTCTGCGCAGGCGCAGTACGTTCTGCCGACGTGCTGACAATGCCCTGGATTGAGTTTAGAGCCCCCTGTTTAGGTTGCTACAAGTTCTGCAGGCTAAACATAAATCTTTTCCTCCAGGTTGAAACCATAGGAGATGCGTACATGCTGGTATCAGGCCTGCCTAAGAGAAACGGCAACGAGCATGCTCGACAGATAGCAGGGGTGTCGCTGGCCTTAAGACAAGCCGTTCAAGACACCATGAAGATCAGGAACAGACCAGAGCAAAAACTTCAGATTCGGATTGGACTACACAGTGGTGAATATTGTTGTCTTGCACTTTTCAAAAACAGTTCACTTTTGTCTTTTATATTGGTATCCAGGTGAAAAGGAATGTACTCAAACCATCTATCATATTGACTTCTCTACTGATACCAGTGGTATCAAAAGATGATAATTTATATTTCCAGAACTTTGTTTATTTCTTAAGGTTTCATTATACAGGAATGCATCATAATCATTATCATATATCAATACTGTAAGAAAATATATAGTATGTTCAAGAGGCAGTTCAAGTACAGGAAGTGTTAAGATATCTGTTTCTTTTGTTCTTAAGGTGCATGTGCAGCTGGAGTTGTGGGACTGAAGATGCCTCGGTACTGTCTGTTTGGAGACACTGTCAACATTGCCTCTCGGATGGAATCAAATGGAGAGGGTAAGAAAGCAAAATGTTTGTATTAACTAAATACAACCCTGCTTTCAACGAACATAACAAGCAACCATGCTCTGAGAAATGGGATTTGCAGAAGTGTGCCCAATTGCTGCTTTGTTTCACTCAAGACCAGAGGTGTAAGCTACAGTACTACAGAAATTCTGAAAATTCTGAGACATTCGTTATGAGACAGCAATTTGAAAGTACATTGTACAAATTTGTACAATGTACTTTCAAATTGCTGTCTCATAACGACCAAAATCATTCACTGTGTTACGTAGGAGACAGTAGTATCATAGCTTATGCAAAATTGCAGGTACAAATGGAATGTCAATGTGTTTGACTTATTATTTTCAGCCATGAAGATTCACGTATCACCTGAGACCAAACGGGACCTGGAGTATTTCTCCAGCTTCATCTTACAGGAGAGAGGAGAAATCATTGTCAAGGTGAGATACTTGAAGTAAAGGTTAACACAAGCCACTTACTTCATGGTTCAGTAACCAGATACAAGTTCTCTGTTATTTGAAAATGATGAGAACAATTTGGAAAGTAACTATAGGAAGCTTTTTACAGTGTGTCTTAAGTTTACTCTATGTTTTGTTGTTAATACAGGGTCGTGAGCTACCCATGACCACCTACTGGCTGCTAGGAGAGTTGCAGGCACCTGAGACAGTGGTGTGAGGAGGGATGTTGCTGTAACCAATATATAACCAGTTGTATACAAGTTGTAGTACTGTTTACTGTATAGATATATATTACACATTGACTGTCACTACTGAAAGATATCTAAAATGCCTGATTCTAAGCTTTCTCTAGTTCTTTAGCCTTATCCAGTTGTTTGGTCTATTCTGTATATTGTTGTACTACAAATGTATGTAGCTAAGGGGACTGAAGGAAGTACATTGTGCTACCCGGATGTCTAAACTTCATGAATGTTAATGCAGTTTTAGACTTCTTATAATGTTATTATGGTGGTAAAATATTGGATGCGTGTTGAGAGAAGTATTATAACTGTGCTTGTAAGAAAATATTAAGATTTTAAAACTCAGATACATAGTAATGAAACAACTGTATATACAAAGTGATTAATCAATTAATCTAATCATTATAAATATGAATATTTAACTACTATACATGATTACACCAGAGAGTTGAGTTGTCTTGGCCCAACATATTGTGTTACAACTTGGTATAAATTTGTCTTCGTTATGACGGGGATGCTTTGAGCAATCCTACGTTTACTTCCTTTAAACACATATCAATGTGTCATTTATTGTTAGGGCACACCAATTTAATTTGTTGGTTCTCGGATTTTTTTGGAAAAATATGAAGCAACAGGGCGAAAAAATGAATATAACAACAGGTCTAGGCATCCTATTATAGCCCCAAATGCTTCAAAAGGAGCCATGAAATCAACACAAAAGGCTGGGTTAAAATCTAAACAATGAATTTGAACGTTTAATCAAACCGCTGCATTGATAGATGGAAAAACTGTAACAACTAGAAAGAAAAGGACTTTCCTCAGCCGTTTGGGGCAAAATATGATCTTTTTTTATTTGATTCATTTGATTTATTTGATTCTTTGTTTTTTTTTAAATTTGCAAATCCGAAAAAAATGAAGAGGCGAATCCAAGAACCAACAAATTAAATTGGTGTGGCCTTAAGAGTCATAATCACAGTAAATAAGGCTTGATCAGATCTACTAGATAATGTGAGCTAGAATGTGTCAGTGACCTTTGAGATTTTATGTCAGGAGCATACTAGTATCCAAAGAAAGGTGTGTTGAGTTGTACCTTTTCTTCAGTGTTAAGAGTGGTTATTGTTTAGCCTGGAGTCCAGCCTTGTTAGCTTTAGTCTGATCCCCAAGATCCGCTCCCCGCCAACACTTGGGGAGCGGACTAAAGCTAACAAGGCTGGACACCAGGCTAGTTATTGTTAACAGTAAGAATTGCTATCTGTATGTATTTGGTCTATGTTTACTTGGGATTATTTTTATCAGTACCTTTAAGTTAGTAATAATACATATTTTACAGTTTGCTGGGTTTTCTGTCCTTGGAAGAGACTATTTAGAATCTGATAATTTAAGTTATTCTTGATACCTACACCCCTTATGTGTATTAAATATATCATTTCATGCACTGATTCGTCTATGATTATGTTCAAAATAAACCTATTATTTCTGTCAAGCATTTCTGTGGAGTAACTTTTATTACAGCACAAGCCAAGAGAATGAAAACATACATGCCCATGGGTTGTTTTTAAGAAGTACTGTCACCTTTCTAACTTGTTCTGCAATTCAACCAAAACAATGTCTCATTCAGCACCAAGGACAGGCTGTGCCACTATCTCTCAATAGTAGAAACAATGTTGTTAGGTCTCAGTGTGGATTATGCCCTCTGCCTACCATGCACACACATACTTTTTGCTACCTGAACTTTCCAATTGGTCCATGCAAATTGAGAAAAAAATATGTACATGTACCTAAACTACAAGTTATGGTTGTCACTAATTAGAATATTTCAGACTTGCATTATTAAAAAGATAAAACTCTTATGTCTTCAAGTTGTGCCTTCAGATACAAGTAACTGAACAATATTAAGTTTAATGGTCACTTCAACTTTGGACCATTTCCAGTATAATTCATATGTAACAATTCAACAAGACAGTTAACTATAGTTCATTTAGTGTAGAAACAACTGTTACTCATAAGGAAATTCCTAATAACTCCAGGGTACAGTTCAAACCTGCCAAGCAAACTTTGCCCTTTGCAAAAGTACTTTGATATAACATCTCCAAACCTTGAAAAATCTGTATTCTAGAACTATATTTAACCAATATATATATAACAGCATTGTAAAGATTGCAACATCTAAGCCAACACATTAGCTTCACTATCATGAGTAGACTTACTATTATCAGCAAGTATAAAAGTGTAATCCACAATATGAACTCCAAACAACTAGCAATATGTAAATTGAGGTACAGGATCTGACTCTTTTCTCATCACAAGTCTGAAATGTTGAACTTCTTAGTATTAATCAATGTTATTAAATATATTAACAGTATGGAACAATTATGTTTGACCGAGAAATACATTGTATGGTCTCAGTAACAAATAATGACAGCATAAACATTTCCTTTAAGTGCCCTTGATGAAGGTCCTTCCTAAGGATTAAAATTGTAGCTACCGGAAATGGAAGATATGGTGAGGAAACAATTATCACATAATATAATACCTATGGTGGTGTGAGTTGTTACACAATATTACCGGCTGTGTTCCTTCTGTGCATGGGTTCTCAGTTCACCTGGTGTAATAAACCCCTTGTGACACACCTGGCACCTGTGGGGGAAGTCCTTATTGTGAATACTGATAACATGTCTCTTCAAAGTTCCCCTCACATTAAATGCCATCTCACAGTGTTCACACTTGTATGGTTTCTCACCAGTGTGAATCCTCATGTGTTTCTGTAGATAACTTGAGGTTGTAAATCCCTTCCCACACTGTGTGCAGACATGAGGCTGCAGACCAGAATGTGTTACCATGTGTGTGGTCAGATTTGACTGTACAGTGAATGACTTCCCACACTCCTCACACCTGTAGGGTTTTATCCCAGTGTGAACCCTCTCATGTCTCTGCAGGCTGATCTTCTGTGTAAAACCCTTCCTGCAGGTGAGGCACTTAAATGGTCTATCTCCTGTGTGAGTCGCAATGTGTCTTTTTAAGTCGCCTAAATTGTCAGTTGAATAATTGCAGTGTTTACATTTGAACCTTTTTACACCTGACATGTCTGCATGTGTCTTGACATGTCTGTCCAGGTAGTCCTGGGTGGAGAACAGTTTCCCACACCTACTGCAGCTGTAGCCTGCAACTGCACCTGTCTGGACACCTGCAAGGACACAACAAGTAACAGATTTAGTATGATCTTGCAGCAAATCTAGCAGACACCCATATACTGGGTACTAGTATACAAGTGTGGAGAATGCTACATCTAAATTCTACAACTACAGATATCTGCAGAAAGATATCAGGTAACACTTTAAGTATGTTCAAATAAATGGCATCCTGTATATAGTCAACAGTTTGGGGAAATAGGTGGTACACTTTCTACCACAAAGAATTATTGAATGAAAGAATGAAAGTATATCTCACCTTTTTGTTGATTCCTTGCTTCTTCTACTTTTCCCTGTGCCTTTTCTGAGATGCCCAGCTCCTTGGCGTACTCGTTCCCATACCACACCAGTAGCTCGGTGCCGGGGGGAACAGGCTTGTAAGTGCGGTAGTAGATGTTCCGGTAGTACTGGAAGGCCACCATGTTCTGTTCCTCCTCATTCCGCGCACAGTTGACGTAACGCATCCAGCTGCTCTTGGTGACGTCAGTGGCATCTATGTAGTACTTCACCTTGTCATTCTTGGAGATCTGCAACATACATGTTAAACATTCTGAAACAAAGCTTTAGGGTACATACATTATATAATTATACTACAACTATATTCACTTCATAGCCTACATGTATGTGAAAATGACAGACCTATTTTCATTTTTCAAAATAAAAATGAAACATAAGATATCCATTGGACAAAAGTGATAAAACTAAAAAGCAAAAAAAAAATGATTAAAAGAGAAGATGCAAAGAGAAGATCTCTTAATATACCAGTACAGCATTTGTTGCATTCTTCTATATGTAGTTAGTTAACAAACATGCAATTGGGTCCTGCACACACTTTGAGACATTTAAAGATGTGAAAACAAAGATAAAGGCTACTTACCTGCCATGCATACCCTGTGGTCAGTCCTATCTCAGGCCCAGTGATCTTCCCATCATACGGTCCAAACACCAGGTTCTTGGCCATGGCCTGTCCATCCAGCCAGACCCCGTCCCCTGCACCCCTGATCTTGGAAGGACGTACAGACAGGTGGTCGGGGAGTGTACGGGCCGCTCTGTTGGGTTCTCCTTTGGGGACTTGTTTGTCCTTCACGACAGTCAATGGACCATGGACGGGGCAGTCTCCCTCATACAGCTCATTGCAGTCTTCACAGTCTGAAAGATATGAATTCAAAGAAATTCTTTCAGTTGAGCCATTATATGAAGAAATATCTAATAATTTTCATCTATACAAAACTTATTGCTATTCTAAACAAAACACTTTGTCAAAGTACAGTAGTTCCAAACAATTGCTTTATCACTTTGACTGCCCTCCTCATTAGCTGAAGAAAGATGATGGATGCCGTCTGAAAGCTCCTACGCTTACAGAACTTTGCGTAACAGTTTAAATCCTTCCTTTTATTATCACTTTGTCAACATTGATTCATTTTTTTATAAAATTCATTCTATTCTGATATAAATTGCATTTTTATGGGTACAGTGTAAGCTTAAGAATATGTTTGCCTCTTACTCTTGTTAAAAGCACAATGACAAAAAAAGGTGTTTAGAAATTGTCTGTTGAATGATTTTAATCCTTTGGAAAGGAATGATATGTACATAATATTTATGATAATGAGCTGTATAATATACTTACACAGAAAGTGGTCATCATCTGGAATCTCAACTTCCTTGTAGTTCTTTCTGGGAATGTTCCTCTGTGGATAGCGACTTGTCCGGATTTCCTCTTTTTCCTGCACTGCTTCCTTTTCCAGAACCTGTAGCTTTTCTGGTTGCAGTGGGGCAGTCACAGGCTCTGAAAAATAATGGGAAAAGAAGCATATAATTTTCTGAAGTATATTGAACATATGAAAAAGTGATGCTATTTGATATGCTTGTACCAGTAATGGCAACAGCAACAGTTGACTTATGAATACAACAAAAAGTATTTTGAGAAAGAATTGTAAGCTTTTCAGCTTATTTCAATAGAGCTGCATTAACTTGTGTATACCATATGAAATACTGATCTAGTTTTGGTGTTTTGAAATACACAATTAAAAGATTTTGATACATACCGAGCTCCAAATCTGTGCTGCAGTCAGACTCTGACCCTGTCTCGTGTTTATCCCATGGTCCAACAGCCTCCTCTCTCTGGATCTCTAGTTCCAAAGTCTTCATTTTCTCCTCCAACTCTGCTAAGCTGGCAGCCGTAGCAGACTTCATCTCAGCTACCTCCTCAGCTTGGAAACCATGGAATGGTTCTGCTTTGTCATCACTTGTTGTTGGAGCTTTGCTTACTGTTGCTTCTGCTTTCCTTTTAGCCTGCAGAATGAAATTATGAGAACTTAATAAGTTTCCCTGGTTACTGGTGTCTGATTTATATTCAATCGCTTCATTAATCTGATACATAAAGACTGTTGTAAGCATGATTTAAAGTTTCCACTTTTGTCTCTAGCTGTCCTTGGTGCTGACCTCTTGGCTGAAAGGGCTAAAGCCTCAATATTTTGCTAGTGTATGGGAGGGTACTAATTTACTGTTTGATGAAAACTACCTGAAGTACTGACATAACAAGAACTGTTAGGCAACACATTTTGGTGAGGCCTACCTTTTTGTGAGAACTTGGGGTCTTGGGCTTTGCAACTCTGGGTTTCTTAGGTGGCAACAGGAACCAAGCTATAAATGAATTCAAATAGGGGATTCAAAGACTTTTAAATTATGCAAGAAAATACAGTGTGTAATTAATGACACAATTAAGTATTAGTCTATCTGCTCATGTATTTCAGCCCAATAACTTTTAATAGGTATTTTAAAAAAGCACCTGTTACAAATTAACAATCATCCTAGAAAATGCTGTATGAAAGGAGCTAGCCATTACATTACTTTTCATTCTTATGCCCCTGTCTGGCAGATTAAAAAAAATTATGTCCATTTTGATTTGACTTAACTGTCTACTTACGTTTCTTTGGCCTCTGGTTCTTCTTCCTCTCTAGTTCAGGTGTCCATTCCTCATCTTCCTCCTCCTCACTGCTGGTGAGAGGTGGGGTGGGGGGCTCCTTCGGCTGAACCAAGCTACGCCTGTTCTTTTCCATGAAGTAGGGTTTCTTACCAGGGAGACCTGACATGCAAGGATTAGAATAAAGAAACAAGGTCTGAGATTAAGAAACAGTAAAGGACACAACTAAAAAATACTACTTTATGATTATGAGACACTTAATGTCACAACTATTGATAAACACAAGTAAATTAACAGTACATTACATTTGAAATATCATATTCTAATGCAAAATGTATCAGGAAACATTACTATCATGCTATATTAACTTTTGATGTTCAAATGGGCTTTGAGTATGTATAACATACTGCATTTGGTACCATTGCCATTATCCATAATTGCATTCTCCAGAATTTGAATTTCATCTTCAAAAACAATGAAGGACAGTGACAAATAAAGATAATTTCATCTTAAACAATAAAAACTTACCTAGCATTCTCATGACATCGTAGTTCCGTTTCATGTTCCGATATCGCGTCATCTCAATTTTGCTGAGCTCTGCCAGCTCTTCCTTACTGAAATACTGCTCGATGCGGATGTCTTCAGTCTCTGGGACTTTGCTCATGTCAAAGTCTGGGTCTATCATGTTTGCAAACGGGTTTGTACTAGGAATGGAATGAAAAATAGAACAAAACAGGTAAACATAAACATCACCTTTGTTGCAGTTCACACAATAAAATTGACAAACAGCATTGAAATCTATCTATGTTTAAAAACAGTCGCTGGCATGGACGTTTTACATATTCATTCCTTTAATTTCTTTTCAGCGGATAGTTTAAAAAGCAATTTAGCAAGAACAGTAAAGGATAAAATTACAATCTATGTACTATGTTCCCCAATGTTCGACCAAACAACAATCGAGGATAAATTTCCTGGTGTTTCAATGTAGATTTGTATGAAATATTGATTTTATATATCAATATTAAGTTCATCTTTTTAATGAGTAAACATTATGAGTTCTTACCTGCCACTAGCTTTGGCTTCCGGCTTTTGGTTGTTTTCTTCCTCTGATTCTGACGAACTGTCGCTACTGACGGCCGCCATCTTTGCACTGTCGTCTGCACTATGAGTATGGAATATTCAAAAGGCAGGAAAACTCCTATCATGACAGAATCGTACAATCTTAGTCTACAGTTAGAAACCCAACACACTTCATGTAATTTTCTACAATTCCAAAAGGCTTGTCAGTGTTGGAAAACCGGTATTTTTCCCCACATTCACCTAGCTTTATCATCGTAAATATCCTCTTTGCACTTGTTCAGTATTGTCGACTCAATTTGTAAACAACCAGATTCTTGAGGAAATCTAAATGTTTTACAGGCATAAACATCGAATATTTGTTTGAATAGGAGAAAAAGCTATTTATTGTTACCTTTTGGATGTGAAGCGACTAAGATTTTGCACTGACAAGTAGTGATGAACCAAATTTCTGTACGACTAAGAGGGCATCGTGTCAAGTAACGTTAACCGAGTTGTCAAAAATGTCGTCTGCAAGAAACTACGTTGAGCCCAAAAAATGAAAATTTCTGACAGAAAATTGAGTCGACACGACTCAGAATCGATGTGTAAACACTTACCGAATGCCTTTGCCTCTTGTCAAACCCAAACGTCGCCAGATCCAAATTGTTTTGGTCTGCAAATCACGATTTTACACGCTTAAAATTCACAAACGTCCGTCCCAGTGGTAGATTCGGCGGCAAAATGACTTCGGGAACTTTCGGAGGCAATTCTTCCCACAATGCACAGCGCTCGTGTCTTCTCGGGAGCCGTTCGGGTATGATCGGACTTTCTCGTCACTGACAACTTTGATACAGCAATATCATCTTTCTTAGAAAATATATCACAACTTGAAAAATCTAGAAGTATTCTTATATTTCAAGAAGAATCAACACTGTGCAGTCTCGAATAAGTTACACATCCACAATTCAACATTTATTGGTGAAGACTGGGGCACTCTATGTAGTTTTTTGCGCAAAAAATTGAAATATTCTAATTATACTAAATTTCGGTGTTATTAGCAGTTACTATCACTTTTCAACACATTTGTGTCATTATTTCACATTTTTTTCGTATATTTTGTCCGTTCAAACAGTCCTTCTTCAGTTCCCGGTGCCACCGGTTTGCTAAGGACAACAACAACAACATACAGGGGTTGCCCCCCTGGGGTGGCTAATTGGCCCGGGCATGCCAGGCTTGATAGACAGGGGCAGATGTCACAAGATATACCCTCCTTAGAAAAAACTCATATCTTTCACATGAGGTGGAATATAATTATCAACTTAGAGTATTTTGTTGGGCATGAATAAACTGTGGTCATTATCCCTTCAAAAGAGATAAAAAATCTGGTAAACGATTAGGTATTGTAGAATTTAGGGATCGGTGTACTTTAGGGTCTTGGGCTAACTTTACTCACGCCAAGTTACGCGTCCATATGATCTGCTAGTTAACCAAGTAAAACACACGGAGACGGGTCGATTCAGATTGTACGGGCTGTTGTATTATGATCTATCTGCTGTATATACAAGTCAATACCGAGTCGATGGTCTAGTTACAATGGTCTAGTCTTAGAGTTGCAAGTACAATGGTCTAGGTTACAGGGGTGGAATCTACGAACTACAAGGAGTGTGTGTCACTAACCTGGGGTCCTGGTCTCGACTGATTCAAAAGGAAGCGGCTAGCTACTATCTAATCCTGACGCTGACTGCTCTCACCAGTCATTGGCTAATCTAATGAGGATGTAAATGAACTAAGAAGCTGGAGATCTAAATATGGATACTAAGCACTACGTCATATGTCACTACGTCACGGGAACCATAAATCACTAAATCAGGGCTGTTACACTATCCCCTCTCCTTTAAGCAGTGTGCGTCCTCGTACACTACCTAACTATAATCACCAGGAGAGTATGTTAACTAAAATCACCGTACAATCAGAACATGAAAAAAGAAGGGAAAAAAAGGGAAAAAATACAGAGTTTGACATGTCCATACTATACATCAAGTGTCTTAGCTTGACCCAACAAGAGTACCAAAAAAAATGTCGAGAGCCGGCTACCCAACCCTACTCATCCATAAAATATTGCCGAAAGAAAGCCGAAAAAGAGTATGCCAATCTTTCATGAGGGGGAGGTACGATTTTTCCTGTGCTCTAACCGACTGCAGGTGTTTACTCACCTGTGGTACTCCTGTTTATGTATCCACCATACATAATCATAATCACACTTGTCAAAATACATGTCAAAGTAACATAGTCATACATCGCAAGGTAACACAAGGTAATGATGAGCTACAATACATAACAATAAGGTACCAAGCATGACAAAGAAATGAACAGAACCGCCGAGTGCGCATCACAGCAGTCACGCACCGAAACATGTACCCGGGGACACGCGCAGAGCAAATGACAGGGAGCCGGCCACATGCATCCACAAAGGACACGGTGAAACCAAGGAAATTTCACCCGTCAAATCGTCAAGGCTGTTGTCCACCCTTTCCAGGTAACTTTCCTAACTTAACTTAACTCGACTAAAACCTGAGTAGCAACCCGCATACTCACCCAGGACTGAGGAGAGATTTACAGCTAATCTCCTTGGAGATTAGAGACTCAGATCCTCCAGTCCTTATCCGTCCCCGAGCGATGGAACACGCAGCACGCAAACGACGTCGTTGGAGTGGCGACCTCCCTGACTACGGCGTGCGAAACAGAAACGTGTATACCTACCATCCTCGCTGTGGACCGCACCGAGTTACGTCTGACTCCTAACACTTAACCGTTACCATTCGAGGGGCGCAATGTAGACAAAGCCACGACGGACACGAGGAAGAAACCAACGTCAACACATGCCCTAAGCGAACCATGCGCCGCTCAACCTGTCAAATAAGCTCAATGCGCTGTCAACCTCAGGGACACTTCGTACTGCGTTCACAACTCGGACAGTCCATGAACAAAACAATGCAACACTTGACTCAACTGTCAACTTGACCTTATTACCGAAAACCTTTCTCACACAAGGAGGAGCACCATCAGAATCATCATACAATGTACACAAAACATAATGTGTCGAACAACAATCGATTTCACACGTCTATGTCAAAGCATCAATACAAGGTTTCACATATCAAGTATCATAACAGTAACACATTTTCAAAGATACAACAATACATGAAGCATCAAAACTCCACCTATCTAACAATAATCTTGCTACACTAAAGCGCACTAATCCTTAACAACAGTGTCAATCTCAAAGTCCATTTCAAAGCAGTTCATACGCGTCGCATGGGGTCCAGCCGGTCTGCAATAAACGGGGGTCTTCAGTACTGGGCCGGACGTCGGCGCTTCCACGGCGGGTGGTGTGGTCTCGATCGCGGGGTGTCGGAAGCGTCGCGCGTCGCACGTGGCGTCGGGCTCAGAACGTCAGCAGCACAGCTCCGGGCGACATCGTCAGGATCCGGACTCGACAGGTGGGCACTGGAACCGTCCGTGTCAGGATACACAGCGTCCAGGTTAGCAGGCTGTCTCAGCATGGGTCGTTCATCGCCAACAGCGTCCAGGTTAATAGGCTGTCTCAGCATGGGTCGCTCATCGCCAACAGCGTCCAGGTTAGCAGGCTGTCTCAGCATGGGTCGCTCATCGCCAGCCTCGTCTGATGCCTCGTCCGGACCTGAAACAGAAGTAGAAAGACTGCCCTGGGAGGATTCCTCCTCAGACATTACCGGACGCTCTGAAATGAAAAGTGCCAGGCGCCGGGTACGGTTATGGCGGACAGGGCGGCGGGGGCCGTCGTTCCGCGGGTCGTAATCCGGGTCCGCAGCCAACGCGGCTGGAGGGGTGAGGGGAGGCGGGAGGGGGATCAGCGGAGGGGCCAAGCCCTGGGGCGGGTGGTCGTCAAGCAACGCGTCAGAAGCTGGGGGAACGGGGGCAGGCGTTGGGGCCAGGGACGCACTCGGCGGAGGGGGAAGACCCTTGTCCTGGGGGAGAGGAATCAGGGGCGGGGGCAGGAGCAACGGGTCAAAAGTTCCAAAACCAAAGGCAAAGTCAACTTTTGGGGCCATAGGGAAGGACAGACTAACAAAAATGCCAAGCAGGGGGATTAGGGAAAAAATAGCCGAACAGAACAGGGCAAAAAGAACGGGGCTAGACGGGGCAATAAAAACACAACAAGGCATGGGAAAGCGCAACAAAAAGGGAAAACCAGCTTTCAGAACAATACAGCCACAGAAGACCAGGAAATGCCTAATGAGGGGCGACCGTTACTCCACAGGGGGGACTGGGGCAAGATGGCACAGGAATGCAAGAAGGGACACAAAGGACCACCCGTGAAGGAACGCTTAGATAAGGATTCTCAGAAACTGAAACTCTGCCGTCCTAACCGGAGAAAAACTATGTTCTATCCGAAAAATTTAGTGTACGAGAAAAGCAACAACACCAAAAGCGGCACAAAATCAGCCGGACAAAGTGAACTAACTTAGCAAAGTTTGGAAAACAGGCCGAGAAAGCTAGCCGAAAATGAGGAACACGAGGGGACGCTCAGCAGATGGTCAAAGATACGAACGATACTAAGTGTGTGGCAACGTAAAATTCTAGCAAAAGTACAGCAGCAAATCACAGGACAACAACTTGTCGGACAATCCGGTGTGGGAACCAATGTCCCATATGGTCTAGTGGTTAGGATTTGGCGCTCTCACCGCCAAGGCCCGGGTTCGATTCCCGGTGTGGGAACCAATGTAGAATTTAGGGATCGGTGTACTTTAGGGTCTTGGGCTAACTTTACTCACGCCAAGTTACGCGTCCATATGATCTGCTAGTTAACCAAGTAAAACACACGGAGACGGGTCGATTCAGATTGTACGGGCTGTTGTATTATGATCTATCTGCTGTATATACAAGTCAATACCGAGTCGATGGTCTAGTTACAATGGTCTAGTCTTAGAGTTGCAAGTACAATGGTCTAGGTTACAGGGGTGGAATCTACGAACTACAAGGAGTGTGTGTCACTAACCTGGGGTCCTGGTCTCGACTGATTCAAAAGGAAGCGGCTAGCTACTATCTAATCCTGACGCTGACTGCTCTCACCAGTCATTGGCTAATCTAATGAGGATGTAAATGAACTAAGAAGCTGGAGATCTAAATATGGATACTAAGCACTACGTCATATGTCACTACGTCACGGGAACCATAAATCACTAAATCAGGGCTGTTACAGTATTTCAGAAACTGGTAAGCTATCAACCGACACCCCACTGGGATGTAGGTCAAACCACTGGGAGTGGACAATACCATATGTGTGGTTTGGCCAGAGGTTGAATAGAAGATCATTCACAGTTTTCTAAGCTTCTAAGGAGCAAGGATGTTGTATTTTTTGCTGTGGAGTATAATTTTGGAATACTAATGGGTTAAGCCAATGTACTATGTAAAGAAAAGAATAAAAAATATACTTTTTGTATTGTCAAAAAACTACATAGAGTGACTTTAAGTTTTGCATCCTTGCCTTAAGGTTAACATATGGAGGCTTGATATGAAGTCTAAAAGTTTCCACAACACAATTAAGTCTAACTTTCTTTAACGAAGATTCTCCAATTCCTTTTGTCCTACATTTCTGGTTTTATTGTGCACACTTTTGACTAAGTTGGGCTACAATTTTTTTACAACTTCCTTTTGCAATGTCAAAACCATGTTTTTCATTGCCATATTTGCCAACTTTTTTTGCCAAGTCCTCATCAAACCTCTATATCATCAATTATTATAACATGCATACTCAAATTTGACTGCTGCCAAACTCTATGTTTACAATAAGCTACTACAAGTTGGACAAAACTACATAAGATTTTTTCTTAAACATGACATTGGTTATATAAGTACCGTTATAACCCTAACTTTCAATACAAGTTCTTCATTCCTTGATATCATATAGCCAACATTTACGTTAACTTTTTAGATGGAACAATCAGAAACAACAGCACACATTTTGCTCTTCCAAAGTCTTCCGAAAGGCCATAACGTTAGCATAACCTTATCATTGTGTCTATTTTGAATCCTGATTCTCCAATGTTTGAATCTCTAACAGCGAAGTCTCAGCATAAGGATGTATGACAGAGCACCTGCTCTGATCATTGCTCCCTTGCGATTGGTTAGTTGGCCCTGTGACATCAGAGGTGCCTGCCTGATACATTGGATTCGGCAGTGCATGTAAGTGTATTGTTTTATTACCAAGATGTGCATTCCTATTTTTCCTCTGTAGTGCTTTTTGCACTTTATTTTTAAACCATATCAGAACAACTAACAGGAGAGAGGTCAGCACTAAACTACAGATGAACAGCAGAATCAAACGGATGGTGGGAAAGTTCCCAGCATCAGCGTTCTCTTTGGATGGATTGGTAGCCATGATGATAGTTATTGGCAAGGTTGGCCCGTCAGAAAAGTCCAATGTTGTCTGATCAGATACTGAAGTCTCCAAAATGTCTTTAGGAGTTGCGAACGGATGAAAAAAGGAGCTATGTTTCACTGTTTTGGTTGTCACATCGAATAAGCCAGTTTGGGTTGTCATGGATGATTTTCTGTGAATTATATCGGGTAAGACAGTTTTGGTTGTCATTAATTTCTTGTCTCTCACATTGGATACGCCAGTTTGGGTTGTCAGTGATTTTTGGTCCCATACGTAAGCTTCTGTTGACATTATTGAGTTGTTGTCTTTTGTACTTAATCGTTGAAAGGCTTCTCGTAACAGCAATTCCTTGAATCTGTCCGGCCACTTACAGATAAAATGTTTATCATACTTCCTCATGCTATCAAACACTGGACTAACAGAGCAAGGCAGGCAACAGTCTGTGTCACAACTCTCAATACAGGCAGAGATATTCATGAGCCATGTTAGGCTTTCATCGCAGCAAAACGGGTTGGCTTGTAGGAATATGCTTCCTTGCGAAGCCGTAGAAAAACCGATGGATTCTGCCGAAAAAGTTGACAATCTGTTGTGGGATAAGTCAACATACTGAAGCTCTGGTAGTCTATGAATAACCAAGTCAAGCGCCAAGTGTGTGATGTGGTTATACGACAAGAACAACCGACGTAGTTTGGGCAGTTTTCGAAGACTTTGCCAATGCACAGATTCTATGCCATTAACATTTAAATTAACTTCAGTTAAGTTGGGTAAAAACGGGACAGTCTTTACAGTCTGTATCTTGTTGTGGCTCAACTGAAGAAAAGACGTTGTCTTCGGTATACCCGACGGAAGGTCCTCCACAAACCTTACAAACCTAAAACACTCCACTTTTGTGATCCCATCTGTCCTCTTGATGCAGCGTGATGGGATTGACACACTGCTCGTAGTTCCAAACAAAATCAGTAACAATACAAAGACAAGGTAAAAACTTCCCATAGTTATGTTATCCCTGCCTTTTATCAAATTATCAGAAAATTGGCTTGTGTTTTTGTGGGTTACTTTCCTGTATGTACAAAATGTATATCGAAATATATGTGGGTCTGTATGCTCAATGAAATGTACAAGACAATGTTCAGCTCAGTTGTTGTCTTCGGCAATACTTTGACTGGGAGTACTACTATATGTATCGAGTGTGCACCTAAGCCTGCCACTTCCCAGTTTCCCTTGATTTCACTTCACACGGGACCTGTTATGGGCAGGTATCTGCAACAAAGAAAAAAACAAGCCCCAAACTAAGTAGGCTCCTTCCCTGAGGTGGCCAAAACAACTGTTAAATTGTTAAACTGTTAAAAACAACATACACATTTAGGTTCCATCTCATTGGTTCAAATTTCATGTCATTTTGACAGAAAGTCTATCCATACTTTTAAACGTAACTGTTAAATATCAGTCTGTCTAGTATACTTGTTTATAGATAATCATAATTTTTTCATATGAAACTCATACAGTTTGTCTATAGATAATCATAATTTTTTATATCAAGCTCATAGAATGCAAAACAAGAATGATTTCAGTAAGCATGCAAAGTCCATGCAATTGTTTAAAGACATAAACTAAGAAATGTGTCATTCTAGAAGTAAGGCAATATTTCTTTCACATTGCACACATGCACAAACACACAGTTACAGGGAGAAGAGGGGGAATCTAGTTGTAATTTTTGCACCTTTTGTACTTAGAGATTACACCCAATAATCAACCAATAAAGAAATGCTGCAAGAGATATTAGTGTGGATGTCTTTCAGCACAAAGGACATGGGTTATCTACATGTGAATGTTATTTGGCACCAAGGACAAAGACAGTGGAGTGTGATTGTTGTTCAGCACCAAGGACAGGGAAATATGTCTGGGAGCACCAAGCACATTTGACTCAAGCTTTCCTATTATCAAATATGATGCCAGCTATCACTACAATAAATGTGTGACATCTTCAAGCAGACAAAACAAAACCAGAGAACAAAATGTGAAACAAAAAGACAGTGATGAAATAATAATTATGACAGGTAAGAGTGGCATTATAACTTACGAGTCCAACCAATATCATGAAAACTGTTGTTATAATTGATAAAAATTACTTTCATATGTATAGAAAACTTAGTAGTTCTCACCTTTTTATGCTGCTGATCAGAAGAAAAATGGAGTTGTGTTCACGGTGCCGTGCTTCACTCCAGTGCCAAACAAACGGTAAAATGATTCTATATATTGCATCCTGGGTCTTCCAGACAGTCATGTTCAACAAGCAGACAAATCATCACATCACAGAACTGTCAATCATCGCAGTGTGACGTTTTGTCACCTTGCTTTGGGGCCCTGCCTCAACAAAATCATTTGTTTAGCACACATCATTTTGAAAAAAAAAAAGGTTTCCTGAAACAACTGTTATAGTAGCTTTTTCAAATTGTTGTGGTTGTTATTTATGGTAGTGAAGACTAAAACAAACCTCTTCAAAAGTTGTCATCCCATTTTGATGTTATAGGACTTTCAAACAGGCTGTGGCAGAACTAAACGCTGACAAGGATATAACCTTTTTGGTAACAAAACTGCTGAATTCATATGACCCATGCACAAAATTCTAGCCTCCTTCGCATGCAGACTTGCGGGGTGCCTTAAATTTGTTTTCCAGGCAGCAACATTATCCCGTGGAGGGACGTTTTTTCCTCTGAGGGAGTTTGCCAGGGAGAGAGGTTTTCACCAAAAAGTCCACACAAGGTCTGTGAAGGAAGCTAACAAAATTCCAAAATTGCCCTCCATATTTGATGGAGTGACAATCGTTACAGTTTCTGTGGAGGAAACATCTAAATCATTCTGGATACGAAAGTCGAAAATGCCAAACACCAACTGAAGATGATTCAGCCCAAAGGTAGTTGTCTGCTAGGAAAGATTAAATATGCCCTTACAAAATGCCCCCCAAAGTAAGAATCGCCATATTCAATCAGTTTAAAATGTCAAACCCCTACTGAACATGATCAATTCCAAGGTGTCTGTTGGGAAAGATTAAATGTCTCAAACCCCAGGCTAAGGTGAGATTGAAATGCAATATCAAATCTCGTCTGGTGTACAAAATCATCATTGATGAGATCATACCACAGACAAATGTGTTTTGTAAGTGTCTGTATCCTGGAGAGAAAGACAACAACAGACATTTTTTCTGCAAAGTCAGGAGACACAGTTGCTTCATACATACATCTACCAGTTGTGTAACTAGAGTTTAAAACCCTCAACCAAGGAGGGTTTGAGGACTCCTTGCCTCAACTAAATTGTTTTTCTACTAAATGTTATCTATAATGCTAAATCTAATGTTAAATCCTCATTTTCTGCTAGCATGTATGATATTGTACAAATACCTAATCTGACAATCACCTGAAGTGAACAGTTACTTGAACTTTTACTCCAAACATCACACACTTAAAGACAACAAAGTCATAGTACAACGTCTACACAGGCAAAGATTTATTCCCTGCTGTTTTGATAGCATGATACTAAAAGCATAAAACAAATTTATCTATTTTTTGTAACAGAAGTTTAAAATTCATGTATTAAAAAAAACTCTGTGTACCCAGTAGTTTGTAGAACTAACTGATAAAACATATTGATTAATTAACATAATATCACGTAGTCATCATCTTGAATGAATGATATGAACAATAACCAATGTAGTGGTACAGATATTGATATAGTTTGTGGTCACCATAAGATTACCCCTGCACCATATAACTTTAATGTAAAGTTATGTAGAAGCCAATACTGCTCAGGAGTTTAAAAGAAACAATTTGAACTAGAATGAACTAGTGGTATTCAACAATAATTTCATTGAATGAAAATAAACTACATGGACAAAAATTTCTGCCAAAGATTGAAAATTAGTAAAAAAAACCGGACTGATTGTAAAAATGCTGACAATAATTGTCCTTAAAATTGCACATATTACATTGCGGTTTTATTTCCCTGTCAATAACACCCATAAAACAAGTACTGTATGTGTAATATCACATATTAAAAACTTATTGAAAAATATTGCAATTAAAATCCACCTTATTCAAAATTTAGAAATTAAGAATGCTGTGGCAACGTGTCTATTGCGACCAATTTCTTTAAGTACACTTTAGTGGTCACTATTGACAAATTTCACTGTATCATTCTTTCAAATAAAACCTTCTGTTAAAGACTTAAAATTCCATTATTCTGCATAAAATGTGGGGAAAAAATAATAAACTATTAATATACTGCTTGTTTCAAGGAATTACATAAATCTGTATAATGAATACTGTAGAAATGCAATGTAGATCAATAGATAGTATTGAAATCAAGGCAATTGCAGAACCAATCATAATTATTAAAATGCTCTAAGATTATTGATAAGTATCTTTGATATATATTTTGTCTTCTGAAAATTTAGAAGGATCTGCACATCCTGAGAGCATTTCTTTGTTACAGATGCTAGAAATAACCCCTTTGAGTTTTGACCCTGATGAAAACCTAATTCTGGCAAGATTCTGGAATATTTGATCGAAAAATTATGTGATACTGGTCATTCGCTTATTGGCCAACCAGAGCATTGCACTCTCAGACTGACATTTTAAACTTTACTTGGTACCTGTCAATACTAATAATTGCATGATATGATGTCAACTGTATGATATTGAACATGACACACTATTTAGAACAATCCACTTAGACAAACTGTATAAAGGTAGAACAAAGACAGAGGTATTCAGTCATCTCATGTCCACCAGTAATGACTATACAATAGAAAAACTATGTGAATTTATCTCCAATTGCTTTAAAACGAGAGAAGAAATCTTCAAGGCCTAGATTTGTTTATTCTCTAGTAGTTGTTAAGACTTTTACGTTATTCTGTTATCCTTGTATCCTATGTATCATGTTACTCAGTATGATGTGTGTAACATCACACTCTGATGTATGCATTTAGCCCCATGAGCATGAACATGCAATAATTGAAGATTCAACTAATTCAGAAATAAGAAATTTGATGGGGTTTAGATGAGTGATATGGGTTCAACATAAGTCGAGGGGAAAACTCCGATCTTTCCATCCATCTCTCCCTGCCACCACAGGTCATTCTCTCTCCTCAGGACGCGGATATGCCGACCTTTCCGTAGAGTTAACTCTTGTTGTCCCTGCAAGAAATTAGTCAAACATCTTATTGTATTAGTATGTTATATTGTGTATGTTAATCTTTGTACTATTTGGCACCCGAAATCAGCCATGCTGCCTGGGTGGTCAGTGTATTGTCGTGTTATAATTGAATTAAAATAAAAAAAAATAAAATGAAATAAAATAAAACATCTTATGGCTACTATCAGTGTTATTGAATTAGATTAGATCATGATTGTCTAAATTTATGAAATTTTTCCTTTAAATATAAAATATAGACTTGTCCTTGGTTCTGAAAATATGGTTTGCTTAGGGAACAGAGAAAATTTTAGATTTTGAAGTCCTACAATAATGTAGATTTGATACAGTTTTTTTTTTCTGTATTTCATTAGCAACAAGAATTGAGGTGTAGATTGATAAATTTACATTGTTTCACGATGCAAAACAATAGAAATTTAGGTAATAATTGGCTTTTTAGTATGAAAGGAAATGTTACAAAATGCTCTGAACAAACCAGACAATTGTCAGCTCGGAAGGATTTCAGTAAAAATAGAATCTAATTCAAATTCATGATTGAAGAGGAAAGAATCCACAGTTCCAAGAAAGAGGTGGGGATGGTATGATTATTCATCTATTCCTTATACTGTACAGTATCAGATGGTTTTAGAATATTCCTTCTCAATTTCATTTCATATCATCTAACATTCAACACATTAAAAGTGCTAAAAGGCAAAGAAATGGTATTGATGTTACAAAATATAGTTACACACTTTCAACTTCAACACATGAGTAGTCCTTTTACATAATTCTGATTTAAACATTGTAAGCTACTATGTATGCTGCAAAGACATGTTAGTGTTAGTTTCAGCAGTCCAAATGCCACAATTATATGTACAGGTAAGGCAGAGCATTGTTAGGCAGGATAAGGCATACAATGCAACAACTTATATCATATGATTATGTTGGTATGTGATATACTGTAGATACATGTATTCTGATGTGGGTTGGTATACATGCACCATACATGATTTGGGACATTTAAGGATCCTGATATTAACAAAAATCATCATGATCATAAAAATCAGAAATATTTGCTATAAACTTAAGGCAACCCCTTAGAGAATGGTAGAATCAACAGTTATCTGAATTGTGTATTACAGCAATATTTCTTTAGGAGTCTGGGCAGTGGACAGTTTTTTATGGATAAAAGACCAGGCAACAAGATGTTGTTTCTCTTTTAAAGTACAATTCTCTTTTAAAGTATAATTTGGTGTGGATTGACAAGGACACAGAGATGAATGGAACAAAACTGACACACAGAACAGGTGGCTAAATCAACTCTAACCAGACTAAATTTTGGTGTAGAAATTAGAAACCTAATTCATCTTAAACTGGGCTGGATCTGAAAACTGACTACGACTGCAAACACATAGATAAACATTGTCAGACAGACCAAAAACAACACCTTCCCATGAATTAGTGGTCTCTTCCATTCAATTCAAGCCAATAATCTTGAAGCTTCGCTTAAGTTCACGAATCAACTTAATATTCTTTCACCTCTGAACTCTACATGTCATTTCTGCATACAATAATACCATTCACGTCACTAACTACGCACAAGCAAAAAAAAAGGAAGGCAACACACACAGAGGCACGGAAAACAAAACCTTCGCACACGAAGGTAACAACAGGTCAATGACCCTTTCAAAAAGGGTCTCAGTTTCAACATGGTCGTCATTAGCTGAAACAAGTAAACAAAAGCCAGCATCTTCTTCAGTCTAGGCCCATCTACAGTACGAGCATCACCATATAGAAATGGTGAAAGAAAAAAGAAGCAAAAAAAAAGAGGCGCATCCCACCACCAAGCTTTAGAGCTCACCTGTGAATCATAGTCAAAAGCAACTTTAACAGTGTCCCCTTCACCAAAGCTGGGTGAGGCAGGGCTAGAGTATCTCCGTGTTTCCTGTACTGTAGCGTAAGTGCCACCATCTGGAGAAGGATGGAAGTGCAGGGAGTAGGATGGAGGGTGGGCGGGTGAAACTGGTTAGTTACTGGTTCTATCAGGGAAATGGAAGGCGACCATCTCATAAGTTCAGTGAATGTTTAACAGGAATGTGTTTTACACTATTAAAAAACATATTTTTGCTATCATAATGGTGATTCAATTTTTCCAATTCAAAATGATGTTGGTACTATTTCATACCACATATATCATGATACAACTTGTTCGTATACAGTTCCAAAAGTGTCAAAACTTTGGTATCGGAAAATTGGACATTATGAGATGGTCCCCAATGGAGATGTAGATTTTTAAAGCGCTCGATCTGGCTCTATTGAAGCCATGCTGTACAAATTGTACATACTACTACATACTGCTCTCTGCTCCACCATAGCCGAAATCCAGACTAACTTCTGTATAAAAATCATCTTCATCTGTGGAGGGAAGTAGAGAATTAGAGTTCAAAAGACATGATCATATAGCCAGAATCAACTGACCAATCAGAAGCCTGCATTTGATGCAGCCATCAAACCATCATGGTTTATAGGGATTTGAATGTTTGGACATAAAAATTCCTATAAACCATGGCTATATCACACGATGAAGGGCAGTTTTGTTTCTACTCTTTGATTAAGAAAAAGTACTTACAATGATTAGTCATCATAAATGTGTAACCAATTATAAAGAACAAGGAGTATAATCATGACGAATCATAACTCAATTGTTCAAATGTAATTACTGTTACAGTAACAGTCAAACCTACACAAGAAGGCCAAGCAGGGGACCAACAAAAGGTAAAGTGTTTTATATATAATATTATAGGGCAAGGAACTAAATATGCTTGCACCACTGCAATGGGAAAAAAATTGCCAGTTTTAAGAGGGCCTGCATGGGGGGGTAGTGATTATGAATTAAGCAAAATTTCCGCTGCCGATTACGAATTTACATTTAAAGTCTCAGAGCTGATTACGACTTTACGCTTTGCAGCTAATGCACTATTACGAATTACGTTGATTTTTGGGGAGGCTGCCTACGGATTACAAAGACTAAAAAGGCCTGATAGATACAAAAAAAGGCATGCTGGCCCCATTTTAAAGCCTAGTTCTAATTGTCCCTGACACTTTAAGGGTTAAATGAAAGTTATGGCCAGGTGGCTGAGTTGAAGAAGTGGCCACTTGGGCAGGCCTACAGGTTTGTTGTTACCCAGCTATGACATTACCTCCATATCTGTTATGTGATATGCTCCTCTGTTTCTCCTTGGTAGGCAGGTTTGGTGCGGCCATGGCAGGAAAACCGGTCTGTGGTAGCGGCTCGGGCGGACGGCTGCTCATGGTAGACGGGCGGTCTCGATGCAGAGGGCTGGCTGCAAACCTCTTCGATGACTTTGAGCCATCTGGGTAGTATGACTCGTACACCACAGGAGCTAGGGGGGGGGGCAAGTTTTAGGATTTTAACATCTTTTACAAGTTATCCAGAATTTCTATACAATTTCTATATAATTGTATAATTGTTATCCTCAGTGCTCAGTTCTTTGTTGGCAATCTGAATAGAAACCTTCCAACTGTACATGATTCAGTCCAATACAAGCCATTCTTAGTAAATATCAACCATCAAAATATTATAACTTCTTGCCATATGAACATAGTGTTATTACTTTTATACAAAACTTTCTTTCATCAATGTATAATTTTCCACCATTACTAAAATATCTACTTCGATACACAGTAATAATCCTTTCTTTTTTGATTTCAATAAACCAGTCCAGCTATCAAATTTGTCACATCTTGTAACATTTGTTACTAAATCATATTGAATCTTTTGCTTGGGTGCTGAACAATAGGTTTCATGAATGTTTAGTACAACTGTGTATGAAGCCCCTTACCTGGCCGCTGAGTTCCAGTCTTCTTGGTGTTTACAAACAGGTTAATGTCTTTGTGCTGATCACAGTGTTCCAAAGCCTTCCTCATGTCTTCAAAATGCTGAGAGCCAAAAAAAACACTGACATCAGCATAATTCAATTTCACTGCGTGTCCATAAACATTGAAAAAAAATCAGGTCCTTGTCAAGAACTCTAAAATAAACCAACCAAAAATATGCCAGTCAATAGTTATGCAGTATCAGTCAAGAAGACTTCTAGTTAGAACAAAAGAAAAACACTTCAAAAGTACAAGTTCACAGATCTCACCTCATCATTTTGTACACAAGTCATGGAGCCCAGGTTGGAGTGAACCCAGAGTTTGTCCCTGAGGAACATGATTCGTTCTTCCTCCATCTTCTGGAAAACCTACATTGTACAGGAACAACATAGAACATGGTTTATATCAAACTTACTAACATCATGCCATTTGACACACACATAATAAAAAGGATAGAAGATACAGCTTGAATGTGATGAAATTAAAAATCTGTGATGAACAACTTGTGATGAAAATCTGTGTTAAATTAACCTTCTCCCTGCTGCCCTACCCAATAACCAAAACAAAACAAACCTCAGTCTGATATCTAACTGGCTATTTGAGTGTACTAGAGGTTAAAAAAGAAAGCAATGGAACTATGGATGAAGAATTAAAACAAATATGGCAGGCAATAAGAGCTAAGTACATAGTTCAGCACCAAGGACAGGGACTGCATACAAAGTGTCAAATCTAAAATACACTTTACATGTAGTTATGTACATGGTTTAATGTTCATACTGATAGCAGGAGCTTAGTCACCTGACAAGAGTGGGCGTGGCACTTTTCCCATGATACCCTGGACTGCTCCAACCCTTCCACACAGCTCTTGTAGGCCGTGTCTGCAAATTGTCAAGATTGTTGTGAAAATCAAGTTCAATCCATCATAAAAGTAGCAGCTGGGAAAAAATACAATTCAAATCAAGGATTTTCTTACGGGTAAAAGCAGTAACGTTGAAGTTCTACTTGTATTCTTATGTGATGGTAGTAAGAAACACTAGTGTATGAAATAGAGCTTCTATACTTAGACAGTCACTTCTAAAACCAAAATGCCAGAGGTAAACTCACACCAAAAAAAGATGAAGCACGTATAACTATTGGTCATCTACCTCTCCTGAGTTAAACCTAGATTATGTTACTAGGAAATATTCATTCAGTTTCCTTTAAAAAAGTGAGTACCTGCTTGTTCTGCTTGTTGTCTGGCACCTGAGGCCTTTTTCTTTAACTGGAAAACAAAGTACAATTTCCTTTTTAGTAAAACTGTTCTGATATTATACATATAGTGCTGTTGTGTGCACATGAAGAAAGTAAACATGAAATACCAATCAAATATTACAAAATGGGTAAGCATCAATACCAGTACTTTTATGCACACAGTTTTCACCATCTGTACATGTACCATGAACTTATCATTACTGTTATCATTTGTCTTTTGCCCAGTCCCCCTCTCCCTTAAAGACTCTGTGAATTTCTGTGATCATTTCCATTTTTCTCAGACCTTGAAATTTTACTACCGTAAAGAGGGTGAACTACATTAAGTCCAGACCACCTCCTCAAATCAACATAAGTAACGTTAGTACTACTTTCCTCCAGCACGTCGGCAGAACGTACTGCACCTGCGCAGAACCCTGTATTTTCACGATTTTCGGTGGATTTTTGGTCAACGTTGCATCAGAATTTTGCCTGTTGCAAAGGGTATCTTTTCCTACACAACATTTGGAAACTACAGACGGGATGTTAACCTTATATGCACTAGTACGACCTTATATGAGGACGTTCTGTCGAAGTGCTAAGTGCTATGCATTACGGGTTTCACGCAGGTGCAGTGCATTCTGCCGACGTGCTCTTTCCTCCTATCAAGAGGTTAAGTCCCAGTGAACTTATAATTTACAATATGTGATGTGTAGGTCCCTCCACCTTATCAATCTCTTTCTGCTGTGCAGTTACCCGGGAGGTACTGTAGGCATTCTCAGCAGCATCCGCCTCTTTGCACTTCTGTTCATACGACTTCTTAGACTGAAGAAAAATGAACACCACACATCTGTTAGAATCAACTTTAATACATCATTCTCTAAATTTTCATGAATTATAGGTCTGTATGTTTGCAAAACACATGAAATACAAATTCTTACATCCATTGGTTTTCTTGTAGAGATCCCTCTTCAGTCTGGTATATTTCATGTTGTCTTCTTCAGTCTGTACGAGGGAACATAATTTTAAGTCTAATGTCTTTCATTCATTTATCTATCCTT